GCCTCGTTCTCCTCCAGTGCTGTACGTAGACAACAAGGCCATGCTGGCCTTGTGTCGAGAGCAGAGACTGGAGCACAGAACGAAGCATATTGCTCTCCGCTACTTCCTTGCTCGTGAGCTACAGCAGCGTGGTCAGCTGCGGCTTGCGTACGTGGCCTCTCAGGCCAACACTGCTGATATCTTCACCAAGGCACTTGCGCCTTGTGATCATCAGCGCTTCTGTACTCAGCTGGGTCTTGTGCCTACCTTGCGTCACTTGCTCACCCCTTGACCTTGTTTGTACTGTTGTATGTATATATATACACCTGCTCTTGCTTGTCTAGCCTTATATATATATGTAATCCTGCATGTGAACTGGCCTTGTGGCCTTGAACTTGTGCTCGGAATGTGTGGTGACTTTGTGATCCACCCTGAGCTTGCTTTGCTTTGCTTGACTGGTCTTGTGACCCCTTGTTCTCCCCCACTTTGCCTATGGGGGTGTGTCAGAGTTATATGACATAGCTACTGTAGGCTATAGTGGGGTAGCACATATGGGGTACAGTTTTCTAGGGTTTGCTTTTGTACCCAACTTTCCCTTAGTCATTCTCATTCCTCGTTTCTTCTAAAAAATAGATCCGAAGAAGATCGCGACGATTCAAGCAGACGATTATTTCAGCTGACGGAGTGAAAATAGATCCGAAGAAGAACAAATTTGACTGAGCTACAGAGTTTTTGGGGTTCGTCAACTACGTGCGCCGGTTCGTCCTCGACATGGCGAAGTTGACTGCTCCGTTCACCGACCTGCTGAGAAAGGGGGTTGAGTACAAGTGGGGGGAGCAAGCTGCCTTCTCGGCCCTCAAGAATATTTTGTGCTCGCCGCCCGTGCTTCACATCGCAGATTTGCACTGTCTGTTCGAGCTCGTCACCGACGCAAGTGACATCGCAGCCGTACTGTTGCAGGACTTCGAGAACGACCTTCAGCCAATCGCGTACGAGTCCTGCAAACTTCACCCGCCCGAATGCAACTACCCAATACACGACCGCGAAATGCTGGCGATCGTGCACGCGTTCAAAGTATGGCGATGTTACCTGACCGGCGCCGACGTGACAGTACGGATAGACCACCGATCACTACAGTACCTCCGCGCCCAACCGAATCTTAACCCGCGACAGATCCGCTGGTTGGACTATTTGGAGTCCAACTTCCACTACACTGTCATATACAAAAAAGGCGCATCAAATATCGCCGACACACTCACTCGCCCTACCGCCCAACTCCATGCCATCCTACTCGCCCAAACCAACCCACTGTTAACAGGCGTATTCACCCACGGATATCGCACCGACCCACATTTCACGACCGGAGCTAAAGGAGTCTATTACATAAAGACAGGCACCAACCGCATCTGGGTACCCGCGTACTCACTACTAAGGGAGCTGTTACTGCAGGAGGCACACGACAGGGTTACCTCGGGTCACTTCGGGGTAGAAAAAACGCGACAGCAACTGCAGCGGTATTACTACTGGCCGGAGCTGTTGACCGACGTACAGCACCACGTGAGCTCGTGTCCTACGTGTCAGGTAATAAAGAGCTCACGAAAAATACAGGCGGGTCAGTTGCAGCCGATTCCACCGCCCGAGCGTGCCTGGCAGCAGGTTACCATGGATTTTGTCACGGGGTTACCTTCGAACCCTGGGGGTAACGACGTGGTGATGGTCGTCATTGATAGACTGACGAAAATGGCTCACTTCGCTGCGTGCAGGAAACCGATCTCAGCCGAAGAAACCGCTCGCCTGTTCATCGCAACCGTCATTCGACTGCACAGGATACAAGCAGCAATCATCAGCAACCGCGACACGAAGTTTACCAGCAACTTCTGGAAGAACCTCCGGGAGCAGTTCGGGACCAGACTGCAGTTCGGCTCGTCGTACCACCTCGAGACCGACGGTCAAACGGAGCGGACGAATCAAACAATGGAGCAGTTGATTCGTGCCATGTGCGACGACCCGACAACATGTGAGCAATAGCTGCCGCTGATCGTGTTCGCATAGAACAACGCCACGTCAACGACGACGCAGCAGTCCCCCGTTTTACCTGAAGTACGGGCAAAACCCAACAGTGCCCATGACGCCGAGTTCGGACAACCCAACGTCACGGGCACAACAATTCGCCGAGATTCTGCAAGTTGCCCGCACCAGAGCCGCCGAAGCAATTAAGAAAGCCAACGGCATCGCTAAACGTAACGCTGACCGCCACCGCTGCCCAGTCATGTACGAGTGAGGAGATTACGTACTGCTCGACACACAGAACTTAAGACTGCCCGTCGTTCCGAAATTACGACTGCGCTACTGTAGACCATTCCAAATCAGCACATGATCACCCCTGTTACCACCCACTTACTGTTGGCGACAGACTGGTACATTAGCCCATCGTTCCACGTCAGCCTGCTTCGCCCTGACATCCCAACCACGAGCCAACTGCCTCGTCACCTCCCGCCATCCATGACTCGCCCTACATTGGAGCCGATCATTGAGCCCGAGAAAATCCTGAGCCATCGGATTCGACACCCCACAGGCATCAGGAGGATTGAGTTCCTCGTTCGCTGGAAGGACCGCACGCCAACTGAAGATAGCTGGGTGCCCCTGGCCAACATAAAAAACCACCCTGCCCTGCAAGTGTACCTGAGGAGCCGGGGTTTTCGCGATATACACGCACTCGCGTAGCAGAGGGGGCTTCTTGAGGGGGGTGTAGTGTAAGGAATTTTCTCGACATTCCTTACTGCGACCGTCAACATCGCGTACAGCAGCAGCCGTTGTTCGCCCGTTACTGCTAACGGGGCTTCGCCAACTTCGCGCGCACTGTTTCACCAAACCTCGCACTGCTGCCCAGACCGAGTCGGCCTACGCTTCGGACTAGCCCGAACCTCGCCGCCAGCGTAGCACTAGCTAGCTCGCACGCACCGCGTTACCGTTTGCATGTTTCGCGTATAAGTATTTGCTCATGCCTTCGCTCATACTTTGTACTCGTTTGACACCTTAGTGCAATCCTCGCTACCTAGATTCATTGCACCCGTAACAGATTGCAATGGGGATGCAACATTGCGTTCTAATCACGTTCTGGCAGTCGCAGACCTAGGGCCCATGGTAGCGTCGTGTCAAATTTCTGTTCGCGTCCCCGTGTTCAGCGAATGGAAATGGAAACAAGTTCAAAGACTTCACCATGTGTGCAAACTGGTACCGCTTTCACAAGAACCCCAACCTCTTATGACAAAACGTTATGCAAACAAACTGGTATCACAACTATAACGGACGACCAACTACACCAGTTTTTTTAGGACGTGTCTCAAATGCACAGGACCACGTGGGTCCGATGCGGATTTGGCGGACCAGCTCGAGAACCATCGCGTGAACCAGCGACGGACTGGTCCGAGATGCTGGACATGTAACTGGCACTACAACGAGCCATTGAATTGGTCGCCAGACCAGCCCGCGCTTGGACCGCAACTGTAGCAGCTTAAACATTTGTTTGCGAAAGATTTCGCCATTCATGATTGTCGCGCCCGATGGGATGGGGAGTTTTCACCGGGCAAGATAAAGGGGTAACTCGATTTTAGCATGTCAGAACTTTGTTGTTACTGTAAATTGTTCGCAAGAACTGTGCAGCCTGTGACGCGATGCATCATGTAGACCAGCTCGTGTCTGGTCCACGTCTGGTCCGCGAAGTAAGTTCGTACGACCAGAATTGCGGACCAGACATGCATTTTTTTGCAGCGGACCAGGTCGGGGTGGACCAGTCACATGCGACTTCTTTACACCATCTGGAGTACGCCCTAACATTCTTTCGCCACCTTACTTCCACGCCGTCCCTGTGGAACAGCTCTAGGCTGTTAGAGTTTCTGAATCCTAAGCTTGGAGAGTCTAAAATGGTAAGGTAAATTCAGTAGCATCAATTCTGTAAATTTCAGAAAGCAAGAATGGCATACAAGGGACGAAGGACTACTCTTATACACACTCCTATGACTATGGCGCCTTGAGAAGCTCGTTCAGGCCGCCATATCACCTTTCTCTGCTGTCTCCAGCTAGGAACAGAATATGTACAAGCAATGATCACAACTCTATGCTGGATCCTAGTTGCTAATACAGAAATCTGCAAAGTACAATCATGAGATAGTTCTAGAATAATATTGCTGACTCATTCTTCATCTTCATGATGATTGCACCTGAGTCTTGTAATGCTGGAACGTAGTTGTAGTTGCATAGCGCGACTTGTTGCCTTGCTGTCGTGAAGATGCTCTCTTCTCTCTTCTCTGCTGCTTTGCTGGTTGGGGATTCACGTGTGCTTTGGGAACTCCCGAAGCGCACATTTCAGGTTGGGATTTCCAACCTCGAATTTGACATTTCAGGTTGGGTTTTTGGCGAAAGTTACAAGTTCGCTAGTGAGCGAACTTTCCTGTGGCGAGTTCGCCTTCGCCCTGTAACACCCTGCCATTACCTCCAGTACCTCCAGAAATAGTTGTCAGCCAATAACGATGCAGCAACGCCGATATGCGCGTACCCGCAAAAAGCGGCATCGTTGAATTATGAGCGTCACTCATCCGCCGTGGGGCCCGTCAGTAGAATCATGACTGAGGGGCCTCGTTCACACGCCGTTCACCTCCCGTTCTCATCCCTCCCTTGGATGATGAAGGTGGTGGCGATGGCCGCCTACATTTTAACTCCCTCTTCCTGCCGTTCACCATATTTCGCCATCCGCACGAGCTTTTTTCTTTCTCCATATCCCCTCACGCATCGCTACCACCTAGCTTCGGCGCCTCGCGCTATCTCGATTCAATTGCGCTCTCGTCCTTGCATCCGCCACCCACAGCAGCCCAGTCAGCACTGGCGCTAGCTTAGCGCGGGTCGCCACTCTGCAGAACGCACCCTCGCCTTCCCCTCGTCAATTGTCCCGTCTCCTCGTCGCCATGGCGCGCGGGCCGCGTTCCGCCCTTTAGGCTGGCCTCACCACAGCCCTCGCTGGCCTCATGGCTCTTGCGCTGCTGGCTGGCGTGAGCGCGGACGAGTTCTTCAACGTGTACGACACGCTGGTGACACCCACAGGCCCCACAGCAGAGCTGCGAGGCATGGCGTTCGCCACTGATCATGTGCCCAACGTCATTCCGCACGGACCTGTGTGCAAGTACATGCCGCGGGGACTGGGTGCCCGCGCGGACCAAAGTCAACTCGGGGCTCGCGTGGGGCGCGTATTCGCAGCCTGACGGCGTGTGCAGCAGCGTCTCCTTCCACTCCGCCCCGGGCTGCGCCGGGCGTCCCAGCGCCACGTACCTGCGCCCTCCAACCAATCCCCCCCCCATGACGTGAGCACAAGATCGTTCCTTTCAACAAACCATTGTGAGCTGATTGTTTTTCCCCTGCGCTTTCCTATGCTCGTCTGCCATGCCCTCGCTGCTGCTGCTCTCAGGATGATTTATGCGGTCGAAATGCCAGCGTTAATGAGATGCGAGGAGGGTAAGCGTGCAAGCCTGCCCCAGCAGTCTCTTCCAAGGTGTGACGCACTTGCCCGCCATGGGCAATGCGCCTACCAAGGCCCGTCGCCCGCACTGCACTGCACTGTACTTGACACCTATGACTCCCCACAGCTTGCCACGTCCTGTGGTATGGTGGTGAGTGGCGTAGTGCGATCATGTGCTGCCAGAAGGCTGATGCTGAGCTTCATTCGGCATCACACCTAGTGTGTGTCACACACCGTCACATGTAGCAACCATGCCATCACCCCTTTGCTGCGCACCTACTCTGCTCAGTTGCATGCACACTGCTATCCTTCCACCCCTGGGTTTTGGGGTTTTAAGTGAGAAAGGATCGTCTTTGAGTTGTTTGAACTGTTTTTGTTGAACCATGAGCCTTGCTGTCTCATTTCCCTCCCTGCTCCCTGCCTCCACACGCCCCATGCTTGTCCGACAGGCTGAAATGCGGACTGCGAGTCGACTGCTAAGTGCATTGTGAGGGATGGCATTGACGAGTGTGTGTGCCCGGGGTCTCTATTCTTCTACGCCAAGGACAAGCAATGCGGTAATGAGTCGCTCAAAGGACAAGCAATGCGGTAATGAGTCGCTCAAAGGACAAGCAATGCGGTAATGAGTCGCTCAAAGGACAAGCAATGCGGTAATGAGTGGCGCCAAGGACAAGCAATGCGGTAATGAGTGGCGCCAAGGACAAGCAATGCGGTAATGAGTGGTGCCAAAGACAAGCAATGTGGTAATGAGTCGCGCTTGTTAAGTGAGGGCGAGTGCATCATAGAGAAGGCAAGCTCAAGTGTGTGTGCGTGAGAGTAGAGGCTCTTGGGCCGACAATGCTGTGTTCTCTCCCTCACCTTGTCGAGAATGCTGTGTTCTCTCCCTCAATGCACTGCGTCATGCCCTGATGACTCCCCTTTCAGGGTTGCTGCCAACATGTGCGGCAGTCACCCTTTACTTCATTAGGCTCTCCTGTGTCGTCCCTCCCCTGCTACCTGCTGAGCTTGCTTCCCTCGCCCCTTTCTCGCCCCTGCCCTGCTGTGTGCAGCGCCCCCACCCTCCTGTGCCACCATTGTGTGTCCGACCACTCCACCTGCAATGCCACTGCCGACCCGCCCTGCATCTGCAATAAGGGGCTCAGCCTGACACACGGCCAGTGCGTTGGTATGCTTCGTCATCATTCTCGCCTTGACCTTTTACTTTGTTGCCTCTTACTTTTCTGCCTCGTCCTTGTCTCCCTCTTCCTTCTCTCCTCTTCCTTCTCACCGTTTTTCTCCTCACCCTCTTCCTTCACCCCTTCTTCCTTGTGTCCAAATCCCTCTCCCCTTCCTCCTCTTTCTCTTCTTTCTATCCATCTCTCCTCTCCCCCTTCCTTCTCAACTCCTCAGCCCTCTCTTTCTTCTCACCAACTTCTTTCTCCCCCACTTCCCTCTCTCCCTCTTACTTCTCATTGTTGTGTGCTCCCCCTCTTCCTTCTCGCCCTTTTGCCTCTCACTCTTGCTAATTTCCCTCATGTTTTTCGCCCTCTTTCATCTTACTGTTCCTTTTCACTCGTTTGCTTCTTTCCTTCTTCCTTTTCCGCCCTCTTGTCTCTCACTCTTTTCTCGCCCTCTTGTCTCTCACTCTTCCTCCTCGCCCTCTTGCGTCTCACTCTTGCTTCTCTCCATCTTGCTTCTCCCTCTGTTACTCTCCACCCTATTCCCTCTCACTAGGGCAAGCAAGGAGGCGCGCGACCAGTAGGGCAGCACGGAGGGAAGGTAGGGCGGCAAGCATGCACTAGGGTAGGTCGGGGCGGCGCACGGTCAGGGAAGAGCGGCGCGCGGCCAGAGTAGGGCGGCGCGCGGGCAGGCAGAGTCGGCGCGCGGCCAGGCAGGGGCGGCACCTAGGGCTATTTTTTTTTGTTTTTTTTTTTTTGTTTTTTTGTTTTTTTTAAGGGTTTAGCAGGGCGCGCTGGGCGCTGGGCAGCAGGGCGCGTTGGGCAGCAGGGCGCGCTAGCGTGCTGGGCAGCGGGGCGCGCTGGCACGCTGGGCAGCGGGGCGCGCTGGCGCGCTGGGCAGCCGGGCGCGCTGGCGCGCTTAGCAGCGGGGCGCGCTGGCGCGCTGGGCAGCGGGGCGCGCTGGCGCGTCTGGCAGCAGGGCGTGCTAGCGCGGTGGGCAGCAGGGCGGTTGGCGCGCTGGGCAGCGTGGCGCGCTGGCGCACTGGGCAGCGGGGCGCGCTGGGCTGCAGGGGCGGCGCGCGAGCTGCAGGGGCGGCGCACGGGCTGCAGGGGCGGCGCACGGGCTGCAGAGGGCAACGCGCGGGCTGCAGGGGCGGCGCGCGGGCTGCAGGGGCGGTGCGATGGGGGGCAGTGCAGGGCGTGCGCGGAGCAGCGCGACGTGGGGCAGGGCAGGGCGTGCGCGGGGCAGCGTGACGTGGGGCAGGGCAGGGCGTGCGCGGGGCAGCGCGACGCAGGGCAGGGCGTGCACGGGCAGTGTGACGCAAGGCAGGGCAGGGCAGGGCGCGCGCTGACGGCGCAGCGCAGGGCAGGGCGTGGGGTAGCGCGGTAACCGCAGTCGGTCACTAGCTATTGGTGGGCCCGAAAAAAAAAAAAAAACGGTCCTGCGGACCTACTGCTCTGAAACCATGTCAGAAACTAACGAGCAGGGCAGGGATGAATGAACTAGCAGCAGGATGGGTACAAGTACTAACCCTAAATTGGGTTGTACCCCATATGGGCTACCCCACTATAGCCTACACAACATGCAACATATATGTTTGACACACCCATGCACCCATGCTCTCCTGCACCCATGCTCCCATGCTTACCTGCACCCTTGCCCCCATGCTCTCTTGCACCCATGCTCCCATGCTTCCCTGCACCCATTAGTATTGTATTAAGATTGTGGTATCTATACATGAGCATCATATTGTCTCACAGGCTTGCCCTGAAAAATAACACAAACAAGACTAGGTGTTCAGTATCGTGTCAAAGTATGTATGTGCTATATGTGTTTAGGCTGTAGTGGGGTAGCCAATATGGGGTACATCCCCTTTTAGGGTTTCATACTTGTACCCAACCCTTTCATAGTTCATTCATTCCTGCTACTAGATTCTGACATGGTTTCAGAGCACTAGGTCCGTAGGACCGTCTTTTTTTTCGGGCCCACCTACCGTTGCGGTTACCGCGCTACCCCACGTGTTGTCCTGCACCTGCTTGCCTGCCTGCCTGGCCTGCCTTGTGACGTGCTGCGCTGCGCGCGACGTCCTGCAGCCCTCGCGCTGCCTCCTGCTGCCCTAGGCCAGCGCGCCGCCCCTGCAGGCCCGTCAGGCCCACGAGCCGCCCCTGCAGGCCCGTCAGGCCCACGAGCCGCCCCTGCAGGCCTGTCAGGCCAGAACGCAGCCCCGCCCTGCCTCTGACGCGGCCGCGCCCAGCCTCTGACGCGGCCCCGCCCTGCCTTCGACGCGGCCGCGCCCTGCAGCCGACGCGGCCGCGCCCTGCAGCCGACGCGGCCGCGCCCTGCCTCTGACGCGGCCGCGCCCTGCAGCCGACGCGGCCCCGCACTGCCTCTGACACGGCCGCGCCCAGCCTCTGACGCGGCCGCGCCCTACCATCGATGCGGCCGCGCCCTGCCTTTGACGCGGCCGCGCCCTGCAGCCGACGCGGCCCCGCCCTGCCTCTGACACAGCCGCGCACTGCCTCTGACGCGGCCGCGCCCTGCCTCTGACGCGGCCCCGCACTGCCTCTGACGCGGCCGTGCCCTGCCTCTGACACGGCCGCGCCCTGCAGCCGACGCGTCCTCGAGCAGCCGCCCCTGGACCCAGAGCAGCCGCCCTTGGCTCCTACAGCAGCCGCCCCTGGTGCAGCCGCCCCTGGACCCTCGAGCAGCTGCCCCTGGACCCTGAGCAGCCGCCCCTGGCCCCTGCAGCAGCCGCCCCTGGTGCAGCCGCCCCTGGACCCTCGAGCAACCGCCCCTGGACCCAGAGCAGCCGCCCCTGGCCCCTGAAGCAGCCGCCCCTGGTGCAGCCGCCCCTGGACTCCGTGCAGCCGCCCCTGGACCCCGCGACGCCGCCCCTGGACCCGCGACGCCGCCCCTGGACCCCGTGCAGCCCCCCGCCGAGCGCCGGCCCTGCTCGCCCGGCGAGCGCCTGTTCTTCCCGCCACTGGTGAGCACCTGCCTTGTTAGCGCACTACCTGCCTGCCAGCCTGCCTGCGAGTCGTCGTAGCGCCGCCTGCGTCTGTTCCATGTCGGTGCGGAGGCTCGCGATGTCGCTCGTGGTCGCATAGTTGTCGCCTTGGCCCTCCATGCCTGACATTGCGCGTCCGTCAAAACCGAAACGAGGGGGAGCGAAAAAACACGGAACCGGTTTTACGTACCCGAAATCGATGTTTAACTGCGTCGCCCCCGCGGTTTTTTGAAGACTCGGTTTTAGCGGTCGAAAAACTTTCGCGTGTAAACGGGCTCTGATTACCAAGTGTGAGGATCTAGGATCGAGCTCAGAAAAGAGAATTGTAATTGATTGATCACCTGGGTACAACACGAGGCTATATAGAGGCTCGACACAAGGCCCAGTAACCAGGTGTTACGCGAAGGTTCTGAGGGTCGCGAACAGGGCTGACGATTCAAGGGCAAATGCCCTCAATGCCCTGAACATTAAGGGTTTGGTTCGGCCCAGATTCTGAATTTTAAGGGCTGGCATTGAGGGCAGCCCGTCCCCGCAAAGTGCTGGTTGTGGGCCTAACCCGGATTTCAAGTGCAGATCCCGCGGCTAGCCCTAACTAATACCCCCTCCCTCCCATTTCCTCACCAGTCCCCCCACCTCCTCCCGGCCACTCCCCTACTTCCTTTTCCCATCCCCGTCAAATCCATCGACATGTTTCGTACCTCAGCCTATTGCCTAGCTGGCACCTAGTAGTTTACGTAGGATAACGGACCCGAAGAGATGTAGGTTTTCCTTAGCGAAAGTGCAGAAAAGTTGGTAGCCCTGATTTCAAGTGCCAGGTTTGCTCTCAGCCCGTAAATTTCAGGGCAACTTTTGGGGCACCTCAGCCTCTCAAGTTCTGGCTCCAAACCAATCGACAGCCCTGGTTGCGAAGCGTCCCGAACAGATCCTTCCCGAATTCGGTAGAAGGCAATTCGGTGTCAACCGAAAATCCAGAATTCGGTGCACGCAACCTAGCTCGGTGCTATAACTATAATAAAATATAGGAAAGCACCTAGCCTAGGAAATCAAGCAATTCATGCATGCAAATAATTATCCTATGCTAGAAATAGCATAATAAAGTAAAGGCAAGCAAGCATAGCTGGCATAAGCCGTCGTACTCTCACAGTCAAAATCAGATGAAGACACCTCGAGCGGCAAGGAAGCCTCTTGTTCGATGGTTGGAGTGGTTGAGCCAACTATTTCTCTGGCCCCGGAGGCTGGAGAAGACTTCCAGGCGGTCGCTGCGGCGGTGCAGGCGAATCCGAGCGTGGTGCTCCTCGACAGCGGCTGCTCTCATCATCTGATGGAACGCGAGAGGCCTTCGTCAACATGAAGCCAGGAGGTGAAATCCGTCACGTGCGCGGATTCAACGGGGCACTTCAGAATGTCCAAGGTCGTGGCACAGTTGCTCTGAAAGGGAAGACCGGAACGCAGATTCTGATCCCCGACGTGTTGTACGTCCCGGGCGTGCAGGCGAATCTGTTGTCGGCTGGTCAGCTGAAGGAAAACGATGTGAAGCTGCAGAACGAGGGTGACGAGATGCTGCTCGTTTCCGCTGCAGGAGATGTGCTCGGTCGAGCACGCTACACCGGCCGAGTCCTCTGCACCGACCTCCGCCCCTGCTCCTCAAAATCGACTACATCTGCGACAGAAGCAGTTGCCCTGCGGACGATCGTGTCGTCGACAAAGTCCAAGCCGGTTAAGTGGCACGCGAGGCTCGCGCATGTCGGCATTGACACGATTATGAGTTTGGCGAAACATGAAGTTGCCATCGGCCTGGACATCGAGAAGTCATATGGAGCCGATGTGCCGTGCACCTCCTCTGTCGGCGGCAAGCTGGCGCGTCATACTTTTCCGGAGAAGGGATCGGACGCTGAAACCGCGCTCGAAATCGTGCACATTGACCTCTACGGCCCCTTTCGCGTGGCCGCCATGGATGGGAGCCTCTATTTTCTCCTCCTCAAGGACCGCAAGACTCGCTTTGTGTGGGTCCGTCCGATCGCGAAAAAGAGTGATGTGCTCGGAGTGTTTGAGAAGTGGCTGAAGGAGGTGGAGCGGCAGACGTCGAAGTCGGTGAAACGGCTGCGCTCTGATCGCGGAGGGGAGTTCCTCGGTAGGGCGTTCACCGACCTGGTCGAGGACAAGGGTATCCTCCACAACCTCACCTGCCCCTACACTCCGCAGCAGAATGGCATGGCGGAGCTGGAGACGCGTACGGTCGTCGAAGCTGTGCGGACGATGCCGCTTCACATGGGGGTGAAGCATCACTGGTGGCACCTCGCCCTTCGCCACGCCGTCTGGGTGCGCAACTGCCTCGAACGGGCTTCACTTCCTCCGAGGACGACGCCGTACGAGCTGTTGTTCGAGAAGAAGCCGGATCTCACGCTGGCGCGTGTGTGGGGCTGTATGGTGCAGTTCATGATCCCGGAGCAGCAGCGCGGCGGAAAGTTGGCACCGAAGGCACGCTGGCGAATTCACCTCGGTGTTTCGCCAAAGAGCAAGGGATGGGAGGTGCTAGACCTCACCGCCA